CTTTCATATAAAACATCTCTGTTACCAGTTGCTTCGTGTACAGGTTGATGGAGTGGAGGGTGATTTTCCAGCATCTGTGCTGAATAAAATCCTTTAAGTGCTGGAGGATTTGATGGACTGCCTCTGTGTGATTAACAGAGTGAAATAATGTTTCATCTTATCTGCTTTGTCACAAATGGTTCTTTAACATCTTTAATGACTGAGCCTCAGGTTTGATACCTGAAGGCTCCAATTTTCTTAGACACTACAATGGGTCAACTGACTATTTACGTTGCTTTGGACGGTAACATTGTCTGGTTATCCAGTTGAAATGAGGTTTGGAAATGTGGAAAGGGTTGATTACATTTACATATTGCATTGATATTAATTACAAGGCTCTACATGTGTGACTGGCAGCTGACTGGCAATCACCCTGCTGTCCATTATTAAAGTTGCCATTTATTTAACAATCATTCAACTTCACCACTTGACTGATTCCCATAAATGTCCACATGGAGGCGATAAAGTCAAACACAATAAATAAACTGCACAGCAGTCCACTGATATTGACGTCCTGGCAGCTCATGAACCGATCGTCTCATTTCCACCTTAAATCCATCTCAGCTGGAAGAAAGAACAAAGAGGCTGAAGGTGGAAACACAAATGAAGAAAAAACTAAAAGGTTTGTTTAAAAAGATGCAGAGCAAACAGGAAACATTTGAATTTATTCATAGCTGCACATTATTAAAAACACGAGTGAATGTTGGAGTTTAGTCTGGACTCAATAAGAAACACAAAAGTAGAAATAAACACAAACCAAAAATCTATCAGGTAACTGGAACCAGTCAGAGGTCTTTGGGTCATTTCATAAAGATCCCGATGGTGCAGAAACACACACAGCTGTAAACCTGCAGCCAGGTGAAGATTTCATTATAGAAAAAGTGCAATAAAACAACACCAGTGTTAACAACTCACTGATTTCAATTCAGGCTGATTCACATTTACAGGATAGCAATTATTATCAGACAGAAAATATCAGCGCGCTGCAAGACACAGGATTAAAATCAGTGAATGCAGCAGAGTTTCAGATTAACAATAACAAGATTAAGCTATAGTGTGTAAGAATTAAAGCTGTAAATGAATCCTGAAGGTCTGAACTCACAGCTGCAGTCTGACAGTTTTTATGAGATCAGACAATAAAGAAGCAGATCACTGTGGATCAAAGCAGAACACAAACACTGCAGCTTATCAGAGGAGTCAAAAACTGGCAGACAGCAGAAATATTACTGCAAAATAAGTACTAATAAACCAATAGCTTTATAAATGGAAACACGGCAACAGAAAAAAATCAGAAAAAAAAACTTGTACCACAACTTCACTTATAGTTTCAAGGTGCATGGAGAAGAAGAGGCTCTGAAGACTCTCTATTCTTTCTCTAATTGTTCTTAATTTTTTTTCTGCACATCCACACAACTGAGTGGATTTGGGTTGGCTATATTTCATTTGCTATTGTGATTGTGTTTTTTATGCCTCTACTCAAACACGTGTTCTATTTAAAGTGATATCGACCATCTGCAGCAGAGCTGCTGTCAGTCCACAGAGGCCAATCCTTCCTCCACTCTCTGTGTTTGATGTCTCAGGTTTTCTCTCAGGTTCTAACCCACAACTGAACCTTGTGGAAAGCCTTCCCAGGATAGTTGGCTGCTGTAGCTGCAAAGGATGGGCTCAATGTGTGTGAAGACAGACGAGAGAATACTTTTGGCAATATAATGTAGCGTAATGACACGTGTGCAGTGAAACAAAGAGTGTCTGTGTTGTCGTCCAACATCCAGCTTCTCTGTGTGAGTGTGCTAGAGCATCCTCACAAGAGCTGGAAGAGTACATAGGCTATTTACAGCACAGTGAGACATGCTTTTCACGTACTCCAAACTGCATGAGGATCTTCCAGAATATCTACTAAGACTGATTCAATCTCAGCCATACAAGACACTTAGAGAATTACATTCTCTGCTGTTTTGTTGTGCATAAAAAAACATAGTAATGCCATACCATCTGTGCATTTTAACGTATGTTTAGAAACGCTTGTTTAGTGTCACGGCTGGGGCAGCAGTTGTGTGGTGTAGTGAGAGAAGGATGCAAAATGCAGGTCCTGGCTGGGGTGCGAGTGAGTGTTTATTTGTAATGAAAGTAAAGTAGAAAACAGGAAATAAGGAACAGGGAGCAACTAAAGCCTAAACTGGGAAAACGAATAAACAAACCTGAAAACATGAGGACATGCAGGGAAAGGAGAGCAGAGAGCCGCAAGGAATACCAAAATACACAGACGGAGCGACAACAAACAGAGGCAAACACACACTATAAATACAAACCAGGTAATGAGGAAGTGACATGCAGGGGTGGACATAACGAGACACAGACCTACAAAGTAAAACAGGAACCTCACAGACTGTTTTACAAACACAAAACCCGGGGACACAAACAGAGCACAGAGACACAGGTGGGGACAATAAGACACGAGAACTAAACCCAAAGAATTAATACAAAATCAGAATAAGCTAGAAAATAATAACAATAAACTCAAAACGCTGGGTCACTGACCCAGCACCATGACATTTAGGGCATCAGCTTAGAAACCACCTAAATAATGTGATTTAGGTGGACACAAGTCCAGTGAACACACTGGACTTGATCTCCCAAACAGAACAAGCGACATGTTTCACATTAAAGGTAGAAGAAGGAAAATCTAGAGTCTGACTTCAGTCACTCATCACGACATCTGATCCTGTTCATGATCCTGATTATTACACTGACTGACCAAATATACAAGAACTACAACACTTGCAATGGAAGCAAGAAAAACGTGCACTTTCATTTACTCTAAAATATTTTACTTTTTAAAGTTTAAAGGTTAAAGTTGGGGCAGAAATGTTTGTTAGACCAGTGACCCCCTCTGTTCTCTGTCCAACCAGGATCTAACACAAAAAGTCATATCTGATGTGTCATGTGTTTTTAAATGTATTGTTTTTGTTTAAATTGGTAAATACACTGTAGTCAGCAGGATTACTAAAGGGGTTATAAACAAAATAAAGAAATGACCTGATTTGCAAGTATCTTTATGACTCTGCGTTATTCTACATGCATAATAACAAATCTGGACATAAATGTCTGAACTAGACCCAACATGAAAATATGAGAGCTTATGATATTGGCATGTTAGCAAATGGGAACTACTTTAACACAATGCCCAATGTTTCTTTTTTTTCTTATTTCAGAAATCACTTCCAACATGATAATTTATGTCTCATGCAATTGTACTAGTACAGCTGCACTCCTCTCTAATGGCCGCGTTTCCTCTTATGTGTCTGAATGTAGCTGTGTGCTTTAGTCCTGCAGGATCTCTTCACTCAGTTGCTCCTGGATTACTGTGTGGCTCTGATCAGGAACGTGTCCACGGAGCTGTACATGACATTAACTGTTCCCACCTCAGAGTTGGGTTCTGTGGTGATGGTGAGCTCCAAAACTGTCCAGAGACGGCATAAGATAAGCCAGAGCAGTGTCATGGCAGCTCATGTAACAACTGTTAATCTAGTTATTTGTGTTTCAACATAAATTCACTACTATTCCTGAGTCGCTGAGCACGACTCTTCATCTGCTTTCTCTCATGTGCACTGACTGATGCACATGTATGCAGTATTAACTTTTAAAAGATGAAGGTGGAAACGTTTAGGGGCAGGAGGGTTTGATGCTGGTAGGTTTTTAAGACCTTTTCAGTCAGGTGAACTTTATTTCTGATAATAATTCTCAGCTTGCAGCAGCATCAAAACTAGGTAGACTCTCCATGAAAGCTTACAACACACTTGTCTGAACTCACAGTCAGAGGTGGGCGGATGCCGTCGCTTCATCACAGAGTGAACCAGTGCTTGCTGTTAGACACCAGGCTGGTGCTGCAGACAACAAATTAAAATGTGTTCCTTACAAATTTATGAGTTTCAGTAAAAAGAAAACAAACCAAAAATGGACATGGTGAAAATCAGACAGCTACGGTTGGTCGCAGAGTTTTACAAAGGAGGCTGCTAATTTTTTCTCTGAAAGACTGATTTTTTCATTCTTAGAACGTGTAACCAGCATTTTACCAAACAATATGTGGAGGGATCTTTATCAAAAGTGGATGTTGCATCTGTGGCTAAACCCCTGTACCCAAAAACTTTAAAAATCTACTGTGTGTGAGGCTGCGTAAGTAAAGCTTGCCCTTCACACCCGCGTGTAACAAACCATTTGTTGGGGGTTGTGGATTTGACACCTCAGCATTGTGAAAGTGGGGAAACATGTTTCTGGCTGTGCATAAGATTTCTGCTTACAACTTAGAATCTCAGTTCTAAATGAAATTCAGATGTTTTTTAAGTATGGCTAATGTATTAATTGACTTCTAAGGCACACACACACACACACGCACACACACGCACACGAACAACAACACCAACACAGAGAAGAAGAAGAGGGGGTCGGCAGACTATGAATAAATCTACATACTCTGATATATGGTATGTGTTTTATAAAAACCTACTCTACACCAGCTGAGGAAGTAATTAAACACAATGTTTTGCCAAGTTTCCCCTCTGGGAAAAAGTCTGTCTTCATTTATTCAGTTATTGTACTAATGTATGCACATTTCTATGCTATTAAAGGTACTGAAAAGCTTTACTTACACAATACTTTGGGTACTGAGTTGACTTACAACAAAGATTATGCTGAAATGCTGAAAAAAAAAATATATTATAAACTATATAAATAAAAAGTACTTTTAATAAATTAAATTATTTTTTCACATGAAAACAATATTTATATTAATAAATTCTCGTTTAACAGAAATCTCTGATAATGTTTGTGGTGTCAGCTTTTTCCTTTTCAAACTGTGCGAGAGAAGAAGTATCTCATGACATTCACGCCTAATGTGTTCAGCATATTCTGCACAGTCTGCATCGTCACTGGTACCTGTTTAAGGCTGACGGGGGGGTTGAACAGCAGGCTCTGGACACGGGCCCCAGTGGGGAACCTGAGCCCTGATGATGGGGAGGGTGAGTGCAAACACCAGAGCCAAAGGTAGCTTCATGGTAAAGATGTGGCTTTATTACCTAAAGAGAGTATGAAAGAAAAGCAGGTAAGGTAACACAAATCAAAAGAAACATGGCCAACGCAAACAAGATTACTGCTACATCAACTCAGGCAACATTTTTCTTGGCAGAAATAATCTAATATTAACTAATTTATAGTTTAATCCTTCGCATGTATCTCCACAGATTTCTCTTACCTCTGTGTTCCAGTGGTTCAGATATGTGCTCTGTCTTTAGAGATAGAGAGACAAGGCCGTGTGACCGATGGTGACATGGAACTGAATCTGAGCCCCAAAGAGAGAATAAGAGTTATGCTTTTGCACCATATTGTGTTTTCACCGTTCTTTCATAGCAAGAAGAATGATTTTCAGTCAAATGATCCCTACAATCAGTATATTTAATTTCAAAATCAGCCACCCTGGAAATCAACCTACCATCTGGATAATTGTCAGATACTTCTTCCACCACAGGTACTTTTGGATCTTAGGTCCACAGGAGGCAAGACCGTAATACAGGTACATCAGGACATGGATCATCGCATTCATATGTGCACCAAAGAATGCTGCAGTAGAAGAAACAATAAGTTTTTAATTTTGTTCTGCTTACTATAGTTAAAAAAAATCTTAAACTGAGTTGCTCTGAACTCCTGCTGTCTGTATCCAATAAAAAGACAATAGTTGAGGGGGGTGGGAGATACAAACAAGTGTAGGTCCAGGGGCCCATGAATCCAGATTAAACTATCCAAGCTACATATGACGATACTATGCTTGTGGGTTTCAGTGAAATTTGTCATCTAGCTTCCTCATCAGTGTTCAGACTCAGTTTACTCTCAGTCACAATCATCTACTTGCAAATATACATATAGCTGCACCTGTGTTTACTAATTAGCAAGTGATAGCGTGTTATCATGCTAAATACATACTGTGAACATGATAAACATTGTACCCAATAGTAAACTTCAGCGATTAAATGCTATTAGTCTCAACATGTTGCCTTGTTGGCATTAGCACTTAGCTCAAAGTGCTCCTCTGCCTGTGGTATACCTTTACAGAGTTGCTAGCATGGCTGTTAATATGCAGATGCATATTATACAAAAAAAATAAGCTCAACAAACAACAATAATGAATACATTAACCAGTAGTGAATAAAAGGTTTATAGACAAGTAGCTACACATGTTTGGTTTAGCTTCCTGAAGCATCCACCAAGGCATTTGTGTCTCTTCCCAGCCCTCACCCAGTATAAACCACAAAACTACAGAAGGCTTTATCAACAGCAATGCTGATAAATTCATATATATATCATATAGCTGATGTCTGCTGTGTTGCAAGCTACTCACACTGTCCTCCTGCCACCCACTTGATGCCAATCCACCAGAGCGTGAACATGGAGCAATGATGGTAGACGTGCAGGAAGGTGACCTGGTTAAATTTTTTCCTCAGGATGAAAAACACAGTGTCCAGATACTCAATGCCTTTGGAGATGAAATACCACCACAGAGCTCCTGCCACCTGACTCCCACAGAAATAAAGAAGGGGAAGAAAAAGACTGTTAACATATGAACATATATGATCAAGAGCTACATGTGCGTGAACTCTGATTTTGGAAATCCTAACCTCGACCCGAGACTGACTCACTTGTGGTTTCTGTTTCAAACTACGTCATAGAGCAACAGGAAGGAAGGTGAAACTGAACACCATTCAACTCCGGCTTGTACTTTTTTCTGATAACAGGCCCGTGCTCTAAATGTATGGATGCCTCTCATGTTTCTAAAAGCTCTCTGAGTGACGTGTCCCTGGCAGGCTGACTGTAATTTTCTGAACCATGGGTACAGTGGAGAATTATTAACAGGTAGGGATCTGGTTCCAAGGAAACTAATTATTGTAGACACAAAAGTCTTAAGATAGTAAGTTACATAAACAGCTGAAGTCCCACTACTATATTCAGAGTTTATCTATGCAAGCGTGTGTGTGTGTGTGTGTGTGTGTGTGTGTGTGCAGTTGGGAGAGTTGGGGTATCCAATTTCCTTTTTTTGAATGCCTTCTTGTGAACGCCGTCTGTTTTCCACATTCTGCAACGGTAAAATACGACTTAGAGGCGGATATTTGTTTTACCTTATGGGCAACAGTTGTCTGGCTTTGTTCTTGCTGTTGACAAAACTCGCCTCATGGTTGACTCTGAGAAAAAAACTCTTTCCCACAGAGGGGAATAAACTTATTCGAATATGAGCTTTTTTCCACTAAGACTTGTTTTATGGGGAGATGTACGAAATTATTTACCGGGTTACAAGCAATGATAATATCGGATGTTGACTCCTCAACGTCATCATTTTCTATCTATTGAGAAATCCCATTGTAAAAGTAATGAAGAAAAAAACTATTCTGCCGTCTCACTCCTCCTTGACCCGCGGGGTGTGTGTGTGTGTGTGTGTGTGTGTGTGTGTGTGTGTGTGGTGTGTGTGTGTGTGTGTGTGTGTGTGTGTGTGTGTGTGTGTGATCGGCGGCGTTGTTTGAACGGAATGCTGACATAATATTCACGGATTCTTCCTCGCGATTGGTAGAACTGTCACAGATATCGACTCCCCTCCCGTTTCTTCTCTCATTTTATCCTAATCTAGCGAAGCATCTGTTTTTCGCATCTTTCTCTTGACAATACCAATAGTTAGAGAGGGTTGTTTTTTTTTGTTTTTTGTTTTTTTTGATTGCCTTCTTGCGAACGCCGTCTGTTTTCCGCATTCTGCAACGGTAAAATACGACTTTGAGACGGATATTTGTTTTACCAAATGGACAATTGCTGTTGACAAAACTCGCCTCATGGTTGACTCTTTCCCACAGAGGGGGGTGCTTTAATAAACTTATTCGAATATGAGCTTTTTTCTCCACTAAGACTTGTTTTATGGGGAGATGTACGAAATTATTTACCGGGTTACAAGCAATGATAATATCGGATGTTGACTCCTCAGCGTCATCATTTTCTATCTATTGAGAAAACTTATTGTTAAAGTATTGAAGAAAAAAACTCCTCCTTGGCCCGCGGGGTGTGTGTGTGTGTGTGTGTGTGTGTGTGTGTGTGTGTGTGTGTGTGTGTGTGTGTGTGTGTGTGTGTGTGTGTGTGTGTGTGTGTGTGTGTGTGTGTGTGAGTGAAACAAGATCGCCTGTCGCTGGTTTGTTTTTCAGTCTCTTGTAAAAAAGGACTCTCAAAAGGAAAAGTAGTATTCACTAAGCGATATTTATTCAATTTTTTACACATAGGCAGCCTGTAGGTTACAAGCGGATAGAAAGTTCTTCTTTTCATCACAAGCTATGGTGTATCTTAAAGGTTTTTTTTTTTTTTTTTTACAGCGTCTGTATTGTAGGAAAATAAAATACTATTGAAATCTCTACAGGAAGTCACTCTTTATTTCCATTACAAACGCCGGTGCAGCTTAAGAAAGTAAAATTACATCCGCTCTGTCTCTCTATACATCACAGAATCATCTGCTGCATCACCGCTGTGCTTAGGGAACATGACGCAACAGGTCTGAAAATGACTAGACACTTCCGGAGTATTTCCGGTAGGGTCATAAGGTCCGGATCGATGCCTTCCATAGTAAATATGCTGTATTTGAATATGTCATATTCAAAACCTTCTTCTTTGGGAGAGCAGATCTCATCGGACACAGGAACGCTGCGGGGCTGCAGAAGGAAATCCATCTTGCGTGTGTGACTTAGAAATTGTGACGGACTCCTCCCTCTCTGCTTTTTTATTCCCCTCCAACAGATGGAGCGCTTCCAGAGGTTTCCCCCTCCCTCTAAAAAACTTTTTTTCCCAACAACAGATGACACGCTTCCGGAGGTTTCCCCCTCCCTCTAAAAACTTTTTTTTCCCCCAACAACAGATGACGCGCTTCCGGGGGTTCACCCCTCCTTTCTCAGGGTGCAATTCGATACGGTTAGCAACAGATGGCGCGCTTCCGGGGTCCGCCCCCCTTTCTCAGGATATAATTCGTCATGCGGGGGTTTCCCACCCCCCTTCTGCGGATGCGATTCGTCACGCTCATTACACGCTTCCGGGGGGGAGGGGCGGGAGGTCAAAAGGTCGTGATTAGGGCCATCAATCACTTCGGATCAAATTTTGTCATAAGCTGTATGGGATTAACTCTCTTCTAGGGTCTGAAAAAGGACAAACTATCCCATGTGCAGCAGAGAAAACACCTTTGTTGATGTCAGAGGTCAAAGGAGAATGGGCAGACTGCTTCGAGCTTAACAGAAGGTGGTAGTAACTCAAATAACCACTTAATGTTGAACCTTCAATCAAATGTGCTACGGCAGCAGGAAACCATGTGTGCTGCTTCTCTCAAATAAGAGCAAGAAACTGAGGCGTCACCAAAACTGCACAGTAGAGGTTCCTGCTACAACTTTGAGATGGTCAGAATTTGGTGTAAAGAAGATGAACGCATGGATCCAGCCTGCTTTGTTTAACCGTCTCAGGCTATAGTAATGGTGTGGGGGATATTTCCACATGCTTTGCGTCCATGTCCATCCCTTTATGACCACAGCACTGCCATCTTCTGACGGCTATTTCCAGCAGGATAAAAAACCATGTCACAAAGCTCAAATTATCTCAAAGTGCTTTCTTGAACATGACAATGAGCTCGCTGTACCCAAACAGCTTCTACTGTCACCAGATTTAAATCCAGTAGAGTATTTACTGGAACGGGAGATTCACATCATGGATGTACCAGCAAGGTGTGCCTAATGAAGGGGCCAGCAACTGTAAATGTTTACATCTATGAGAAAAGTCCTCAGATTCTTAGATTTGAACAAGAACAAGATTAAATAAGCACCGAGATCTTTTCATTTGAACTATTTTAAGGAGATTTGCATCGTCAATAGGAACCAAACTGGCGTTTGAACAAAAAGTAACAAACTGGTTTTAATGTTTAAAAAAAAAATCAAAGGTCAATAAATCTTTATGATATTCCTAGTGTGTTTTTTCAATATGAAGACTTTTTACAAACTACCAAGATTACATCATCTTTGTAATCCAAGATTTTTGATTAGCTATGAGTCTCAGCAGTGACATTACCCGTTAACCCTTTGTCCACTGTGCGGCAGGATCTCTGAAAAGTTTAGACAGTAAAAAAACTGAACATGAAGAAGGAAATGTCAGTTAATGTGTTCATGTGAGATAAGCAGAAATTACCGCGCTTTGAAAAGCCACAAAGCTCAAGCTGAAGGCCTCTTGTTGAAGACGTAAGTACACTTTTACAACTTTAAGAAGATGATCTTAAAACTTGAAGGCAGTTTATTCTTTTTGGTGCATGTTAGGGGTGTGTTTTGTGTCTTTGTCATGTTGCTCTTCAGTTAACTAAAAAAAAAATGCTTAAAAAATATTTCCCACAAATACTTTGTCAGAGTCACACAGAGCACGTTGACACATGCAGTGTATTTCAGTTCAGCACGCGGTCAACCCTCAATATATTTCAGTATGGAGCTGTGCCACAATAAGTCCTGCAACCCGAATACTCACCTCAAAAGCTCTAATTACAATAAAATTTGTGCAGCTTAATGGGATGCTGTGTCTGACCTTCCATGCGTGTGCACACATATGGCAGTTGTTGTATTATTTAGTCACGTTTTACTCCCCCAGATTACAGCCACAGGCCGTGTTGTACAGCTCAGTACACTGGCAGGGAAAGGAGAGAGGACATAATGGTAAATGCTATTAATATTTAATAACAGATGATCTTTTTTCACTGTAAAAATTAAATATAAAATCATCATATAAACACATACTGCTGCAAACATCTTTTAGATATTTTCATTAACCAAAAACTAGTTTTACCTGTAGCTATAATTACTGTTTCGTACTTTGCCAAATTTCGTGCAACATTTGTGAACTTGCCAGCTGTAAATGTGCAGTTTCCAAAGCCAGTGTTCGCACAAAATATTTTATTCAAATTAAGTTTTCTTGTCAGTGAGTCATTGCCATAAAAATGAAGACCTCCTCTGACATTGTTTAAACTGTTTCGTTCTTTTAGAATAAAAGTGTGTTTAAGGTTAACTCCCTCTGAAATGCTGCTTCTCAAACCTTTTCCACCTCACTGGAAAATAAAAGCAACCATCACATCTCAAAACTGAAAATGAAGCAGTCTGAGCACATGTGCTGCTGCAGCCTCTGGGTCAGCCGTCATTCAATCTTGTTGAACAGTAACTCAGAAATTAAATACATTTTTATGGTGTGTTTTTTCCTTAAAGGAGGCAGGTCGGTGTCTTATTCCTCTTTCATTTTCTTGTTTCATTGATTCTAGAAGTTTTACCAGAAACTCAGCTGAGTCTGGCAGACAGTCTGGACAGTTTAGTAACAGACTGCTAAATTCTGTCCTCCAATTGGTTTTAAAACTGAATATTTAAGGAAATATAATCCTGGTGCCTTAAAAAAAAAAAAGTTTTCTTTCTTGCTTCCTGGATGGGGGCCCAACTGTGGGCCAGTGTAACCAGAATAATCTGACCCAGGTCAGACTCTAAAAACTTTCATCACAAGGAATTTCTCTGTGAAGAATTTAAAAAAATTATCAATAACTTTGAGAATTTTCTGTGTATTTCACCTTAAAAAAATCACCTTAGTTTTACTTCACGTTTCACATCGGGGTCCTCTTGCACTGGGCCCCACAGCTTCTTTCCCCTGCACGGTTTTATTTTTACTTCCTCTTTTCAGTTTTTTCTAAATTTAATAGTTTTGTTAATATTCTGCACAAAGTTGACTGTAAAACCATGTCCACCTAAAATCAGCCATTCTGCTGTGCGGCAATGATTTAAGGGTGTGCAAGAATGACAGAAAAGAGAAATTAGAAATAAAGAAAAAACGTTTGTGTTCAGACATGTTGAAATGAAGTGAAAAGAAAGGAAAGGAAATGAAAACAGGGCAAGTTTAAACAGGAACATAGAAGCATAACAGGGGGGCCCATATCAAGGGTTTTTTCTTTGGTGCTAACTGAGCTCATGTTGGATTCTGTGCAGAGCTCTGCAAAGTCTCAGTCTTATTTCTGTATTTAATTATGTTATTTTCTAAAAAATAAATTTAAAAAAATGAATTGTATAATTTTTTTAATTTGCGCTTTTGAAATGAGGAATGTGCTGTTTCATAACAGAAGTTTTCTTCATTACACTTTCTACAGAAAATCAAGCCACAGTAAACAACAGTACTGAAACCTGGAGAATAAATGAGGCTTACACCGTCAACAAACTTGCCCTGACTTATCTATTACAAACATTTACACAGTAAATACACAAATAAGTGACAAAGAAAATAAGCATTATATGACTGCTAAGAAATGACAAAAATAAGGAACTCACAGAAAATCTACAAACTGTGCACAGTTATATTTTACACTTCATTTACTTTCATGTAAATTGACTGGTGCTCACAGGCCTTGATTGTAAAAGAATTTAAATCTCTGGGTTTAGCTATTATGACTTGTGGAAATTTCAATTTGAATTCATGTTAAAGTGGCCATCAGTAAGCTACACCACATGTTACTACTACTCTCTGTGAGGCCATAAAATAGAGAGGAAGCAGATGTAAAGGACACAGTTTTAGTGCCTGTGGTTAATATTTGACTGTTAAAGTGGAAAAAAATACACCACAAAGAGGTTACTGCAGAAACCAGAGAAGTTGAAATCGAGCTAAATGCTTGTTTCGACACACATTTTGTTCATTTGACTTTTAAAATGTAATTTTAAAACTTAATGAGCAGTGCGTTCTCATTATCAACAAAATTATCTGTGCTTACCGCTGTTGAGGTTATTACTCGAGAAATAAATAAACATATTACACAGAACACCTTTCTTAGAAGTAATGCAGTAGTTTACTAAAAGTTAATTTGTTACATTATTCATTATGTTACTTTCATGTTACTCTGAAAAACGACCTGAAACAAATTCTCTCATAATTACTTTTTAACAATATAAACCTAAAGGCTTCAGCCCCACATCCATCGCTGGTCCTTACAGAGTACAGAAAACATCCTCCCCAGTGTTTCTGTGTTGACTGAATGCTTAACCTCAACAGCTAATAATAAACTCAGATGTTGGAAGTTTAACAGTGTACGATCTCTGATTGGCTTCCATGTGTGCAGAGTCTATAGCAGGTATCGAGCAAGTTAGTGACATTAATGAACTGCTAAAGGCTTATGGTGCTTAAGAAACGTGTTGGTCCAGTTTTCACTGAAAACAGAAAAAGAGGTCGAAGTTAAAGCAAGAACTGAATTATGAAGAACAGAAGAAAATGTAAAACACACAGTGGTCTGCATCTAGTGAATTTATTCAGAAATGAATGAAAGTTATTTGACAAATTACATTTTTGCAGAAAGCATCTAAACTCATTAGGCAAAGAACACAGATGCACTTTTGATTTGTCATTAGTTTCAGTTTACTTCAGTTAATTCAGTCATGTTAGCTTATCGAGCTCCCAACCCTGTCCAGCCACAAAAGGCTCCAGTGAACACCTCACAAATGATGAGTCGGATAAAAGCTTGAAGGGAAAAAAAAAAGATGCTTTTGAAAATATAAAATATGCTTAAATAACTCCTCCCTTGCCACTTGCACTTGCACAACTCCTGCTAGTTTCTGTTTCTTAATATAAAATTATAAATATAAATATTTTATAGCATCATGTAGGAATACGGCATTAAAAAAATAATAATAATTTT